ACAAGATAGAATTTGTCCAATATTGTTTCTGTGAAATGGGCAATGGGAAAATAAAAATGAGAAGCATCGTGTTGAAACTAAGAAGAAAGTAACTTGCATATGAAATTGGAGAGTTACACATTGATGTTCTATCAACTACAAATTTCAAACGTCAACTTCCTTATAATTTTTTCAATGACCTGTTTTAGTTATTCCTCTGCTATAATTAACACTAACTGAACCTGCTAGAGACTATAAGTTTGAGATAACTGAAAATGAAACTCCTTTGAATAAGCACCATATGTTTTGGTCACTCGGTGCACTTCTACTTATAGCAATGGGAATGAGCACTTCTAGAATGTCTTGATTAATGCGCGCTGACTTGGGGAAGTCATTAATCTCCCAAGCAACAAGCTCCTGTCAGTTTGTCAAACAAATACTCATCAATTTTAAATTTAAAACAATAATCAGGAATGGAGCGGAAAAGGGGTTGATCGATGATGAGGGAAGGAGATGGGAGGGTCAAGAAAGAGTGGATCAAATATTAAACCAATTCAAGAGAAGCTTCACTTATTTTGTTATAATTTTTTTCTTTGTGTATCTACCAGCTTGTTAATGTTGATCAGTGTTCTTCATGATTGGGCAAACATTACACCCCCCCCCCCTCTCCCCCCCCCCAAAAAAAAAGTGGGCACACTTCTGCTCTGCAAATTGTATGTACTCATAATTCACATTAGCATTAAATAGGGAGGCAGGAAAAATGTAAAAGCTGAATAAGACCTAAAGAGAAGACATTTAGGGTTCCTTTATTAAGTGAGAGCATGGAAAGAGAGAGTAAGGTAATTGAGAAAGGAGAAATGAAATAGAATAACTGGATATTTGAAGAGGGACACAATCTCTACATGTGTTGATTTATTATGGCTGTCTTGAAGCTGTCTTGAAGATGCAATCAATTCTGGTTGACTCACTACAACATTAAAATAACTGAATGCAATCCATGTCATACAGACATTGTACGCTATAAATCTTGAGAAGTGAATTGAATTCATTCCCTTAAAAGTACTTCAACGTAGCTCTCTCAAGTCTTTGAACATAAAATGACTAAAATTATGCAGTGGTTGTAAAAGTGAAAGTGTATTATTTGGGGAAATTGGGAAAAAGTGATAGATGGCAATAAGATCTTAAGAAAGAAAAGTATGAGGTAAATCTTTAGGATGCAAGCTTCATTCATAAAGTCCCCAGTAGTGTTACTTGGTTAGTCATGAATCTCCTATGTTTTATCGAAGAAAATATACTGGAGTGAGTCACTAAATAGCTGAGAAAAGAAAGAGAGAGAGAGAGAAAAAGGAAGATACATGGTTGATACTCCATTTATTACAGAGGAGTGAAATTTACAGCAGCTTGATATTTTGTGAGGAACTTGTTTTAACAAACAAATTAAATCAAATTAATATAGCCATTTTTTCTTTTTTTTAACTTTATCCAAAAACCCTAAAAAGTACATGTGGCGGAAATGTTCATTTTTGTATTTTGTATTTTTGAAATATACGGTTTGGAAGTCAATCTGAAAAAGTGATTGTAGTTTTTATAGAATTTAAGATCATTTACATCATAAGAAATCACAAGTTTGTGCTGAATATCATCAATATGAAAATAATGGTTTTGGCATATATGAATTATAGGATTAGATATATTGTGACCTGAATTAAATTCTTGATCTTAGTCTGCCCAAATGACTAGTTTGAAAAGCTCATGTTTTATCTCTACTATTAACTTCTTCCATATGTTCATGAAAAATGAGACAGCCCTCAAATGATTGTTTTTCTTCAACCAGTACTGGAACTCACTTTGAAGTTTTACCCTTCCGTTCACCATTTTCAACACAAGACTCCTCAACTTGAGAAAGGTTATATATATTGCCCTTCATTTTGTTTTCCGCATTGCATGAATTGCCTGTAGGGTTGTGCTATGCATATATTCCAATGCTCTCATAGGGACATAAAGGGTTGCCTTCGAGACAACATGCAGACATAATGAGATGAAGATTGATCAGACGTCAACATTAATGTCATGATATTTAATACAGTCCATGTTTAGATGTCAAATAGAAAGGGTTCACACTGACCGTCTGATATTGTATGCTAAATGAGGGTTGCTGTGAAATGCGTCTCTCTCCTTACAGTTTCCATTATAAAAATGTTTTATTAAAAAAAAATTGTATCTAAGTTTCTTTTTTCCCCTTATAAATAAATTTCAATTTGTCTAGCGCATAATTATTATAGGTTAATTCTCTATGAGCTTTACATTACTAAGCAGAGAAAGATGTAGCACTACTACAGAAAGAGATAGTTCTTCAAGGCTTTCTTAAATGTATCGACTATCGAGAGAAGAGGTAGAAATGCCACAGAGCAGGAGTTGATGCTATGAACAATTGGTTTCCATATTTTACAGGATGCACAGTCCCTTTTCTTACAGGCTTATAATATGTCTTTAATCTTAAATTGAGTGTTATTTCTTACTTCTCTATGGACTATGTACTAGTATATGTTGTAATGTTTAAGGCTATCTACTCTCCTCTATCTATTGGTTTAATTTTCTAGTTTTACTTTTTTTGAATCCCATGATTGGCAGATTTTTTTAAATACATAATGTTCCAAAGGAACTGTGACAAACATCAACTGTAGCAAACTATTTATCTTCTTACTTTCTCTTTCTTTCTCTCTCTCATTCTCTATATTTTCTCTTCTCTTTTGATCTCCCTCTCTTTGTATCTTCTTCTCCATCAATATGGCACTACCACTGGAGGCGAGAACCATTAAAGGTTCCATGACATGGCATCGCTTTCAATCTTCAATCTTCAATCTTTCAACCTTTTAAAATGGAGGAATAATGAGCCGGACGATATATCATTTTCAATTTACTCTGTCTCTCAATTTCACTCTCGTCTCCCTTTCTCGTTCTCTGTCTCTCGTGCTGTCTTTCTTTGTCTCTCTCTGTCTCCCTTATCCCCTCTCCCCTCTCTCTCTTTTTCCCTCTCCCTCTCTCTCCCTCTCACTCTCTCTCCTACTTCTCTCCCTTTCCTTCTACATGTGTCTTTTGTAATGTGCCACACCCCCTTTTCCATCTTTTCCATCTTTTCACTCTTTCTCTCTTTCTCTCCCCTGTCTGTCTTCTCTCTCTCTCTCTCTCTCTCTCTTTCTCTCTCTTTCTCTCTTTCTCTCTTTCTCTCTCCCTCTCTCTTTCTCTCTCCCTCTCTCCCTCTCTCTTATTTCTTTCCCTTTCCTTCTACATGGTACTTATGTAATGTATGTACATGCCACACCCCTTTCCCCATCCCCTCTCTCTCTCTCTCTCTCTCTCTCTCTCTTCTCCATCCCTTCACTCTACTCTCAACCCACCATTACCCTTTGCCAGCCTCTGTGCTACCTTTTCAAAGTGACATGATCTATTTACTGATGCCTTGGAACCCCATCTTAGTTAATCAACCATCCAAGAATCACTCCTACTACTTAGGCACGGCCAAGTTAACTGATTTGCACTTTGCTTGTCCTTGACTTTGCACTCTTTCATAAAAGCCAACCATTAATTTGTGAAGGTATAGAATACTTAAGTTATAAGTTATTTATAGCACTTCAATGCAAATAGTCCATCTCTTGGCAAACACAAACAAGGCATACAAATAATCACAATCCAGAATCCCTAATAGGACAGCGTGTAGTATCAGATTCTAACTGAGCCTGACTCGATAAACGCCGCCAATAGGGGTCCATTGAGTATGCTCATTGAACTGAGACGTAACATAGAACTATAGGGTCATGTACATAGTGTGTGAGCAATGCAGAGCAAAGGTTTGTGCAGTGCGGTATCACACGGCTGGAATACCACTACCGGTGCTATATATTATCATAGGCTAGCTGTATATACGCCATCACACAGCACATGTAGAGGCGTTATTGGCTTGGGGATGGTAAATTGAGTATATGCTCTCGGTTGGATTGCTGGCGGCTGGCTGGACTCAGAGCGTAGCATTGTTGTGTTCACTGCGATGGTAATGGTGGTGTACTTATATGTGGGAAGCTAGCCAGAACCGGGTCAGTTCAGGTCTCTGACAGCTCACGTTCAGTCTCTTTAGCATAACGCTGGCTCACGTTACTCTCTCTCTCTCTCTCGGACCCATCTCTCCGTCTCCTTGCTCAGCCAGGCTACACTGGTGATTCTACCCATCGGAGATCAAGGAATACCGGTACAACTACAACTCTTCATTTATCCGGTGTCTTGGAATATATACTGCAGCTCATTAATGTCTATGTGTATCATCGTCAACCAGGAAATATACAACAATTTTTGACGTATAGCTGCTTTTCCTCTATACCGGACTGTGATCCATCAATGAACCGAGGTCACACATAGTTGCTCGCTGTGTAACAAGGACAGGTTTATCTCTTCATGATATTTCATCGTAATTATTGAGGTATATATCTTCAGACTATTGAAACCCTTCAATGGGCAGTTTGATGTGAATATCAGCTGTGAGCTATTCCTGGTATTCTATCTTTATTCAGAAAGTGCTTGCTAACGTGTGTCACTACATCATACCCACAGAACATTGTAGGTTGGCTCATCACCCGGTGTAATATAATTGCATTCAATCAATTTATAATGCATGAAAATATCACGGTACCTGCATGTTGAATACGAGCTCGTCAGTTCATGCTTTCAACTGCAGGATTCATTCATTTATATAGTGGAAGCCATAACTCATCAGGATTCACATTTGTTGCCAATTTACGGAGACAGTCGGCAGCGAAGTGATTAATCACCAAGCGGTAGATATGTTGCATTCCTTGATCAGACCATAAGCGGATTTGTTTTTGTCTTTATAATTTTCCTTGGAAATGAAAACTGATGTGTTGAATGTCGTTTGGTGGCTTTGAGCAAATTTACCTTGTGTGAAATCTACAAGCTACAGTACATGAGGATTGTTTTTACTGGAATCCCTGTATCGTGTATCGTATATGATGATAACTTTTGACTACAACCTGTGAATATTTGCAACTCGAGTGCTTTGGAATATAATTTATTGGCTTGCATTCTGCTCGGCTACGCTTTGCGGACTATACTCTACTGGCAATACCAGGCTTTTCAACATTTGGATTTTAATAGTCCTTGAAGCGGAAAGCAAAGTACATTAGAGGAATATCAATTTCAATCAAACCAAACAACTTGGCGTAATACTGTTTCACCACCTCAAGCTCTCTTTCTTACATTTTTCACTACTTGTGATTGCCATGGCAACTGCTCATTAGAGGAATATAATATTTCAGACAACTCATCGTTACTGATATAGATGTTGTGAACACCAAGCTTTTAACGTTTCTATTACTATCGCCATCTGCAATCTGATATAGATGTAGTAACACCAAGCTTTTAACATTACTATCGCCATCTGCAATCAGCAAGGGAGATAGAGAGTACATTAGAGAATTTAAGTTCCCAGTAGATCGGATCTGATCCTCGCGGGAGTGATTTGATCATATCTCCGCGGGAGTGATTTGATCATATCTTCAAGATGATTGATATCGATGAGGCTATGGCTCTGGAGACGGAGGTGGAGGAGAGTCAAGGGGATGTAAGTATTGATAGGATATTAGGATACTATAGGTAAAGGTTCAACAGAAATAGAGGAATAAGGTCCTATTGAGTTTTGGTAGAATATACTATAGGTAAAGGTACAACAGAAATAGAGGAATAAGGTCCTATTGAGTTTTGGTAGAATATACTATAGGTAAAGGTACAACAGAAGTAGAGGAATAAGGTCCTATTGAGTTTTGGTAGAATATACTATAGGTAAAGGTACAACAGAAATAGAGGAATAAGGTTGTCTTGAGTTTTGGTAGAATACTATAGGTAAAGGTACAACAGAAGAAGAGGAATAAGGTCCTATTGAGTTTTGGTAGAATATACTATAGGTAAAGGTACAACAGAAATAGAGGAATAAGGTCCTATTGAGTTTTGGTAGAATACTATAGGTAAAGGTACAACAGAAGAAGAGGAATAAGGTCCTATTGAGTTTTGGTAGAATATACTATAGGTAAAGGTACAACAGAAATAGAGGAATAAGGTCCTATTGAGTTTTGGTAGAATATACTATAGGTAAGGTACAACAGAAGTAGAAGAATAAAGTTGTCTTGAGTTTTGATAAGAATGAAAAGTTGCTGTACGGCTGGCATAAGGGCATGTACGCAGACATGGGCATCCCTATGTCGCCACACACATGCATTTATACATCTGCAAGGAGCTTTAGCAGTGAAGGAGGCAGATTATCTTGAAGAAGAAGAAGAAGGCACGAACGGACAGACACTATCGAGTCAAGCAGAAGGTTATTAGCATTTATAATGCCTGCAACTTCAAATAAATGTGCTTATGTTATATGAAACGACTCCAATCGGGTAGTTACAGGTATAATCCATTTACTCTTTTTATTACTTGATAAAGAGAGAAATCTGTGTCACGTTTGAAATATAAAAGATGTATGTAGAGCAGTCAAAGCCTTAGAAGAGAGATATCAGAGATTTGCTATTCTTATTTGTTTTATTATAGATGTAGACTGTAGCTAATGAGTAAGAGAGAAAGAGAGAGAGAGAGAGAGAGATGAAAAAAGAGAGGAAGAAAAAGAAGAGGTCAAGTTGATATCTTAGATGTGATGTACCTATAAGATTTGGTCAGGGAGTTGCATTGGGATTGAAATTGGATGTTAGGTTATGATTAGAGTCAGGGTTGAAGAGAGTGCAGAAAAATTAACTGTGGAGCAATCACTCATGGAGTATGTGTGTACAGTCTTAAGCAACGAGAAGGAAGAGGAAAGAGACAGATGAAGAGAGACAGAGAGAGAGAGAAAGAGAGATCAAGAGAGGAGAGAGAGAGAGAGGGAGAGAGAGAGACGAAGAGAAAGAGGGAGAGAAAGAGAGAGAGAGATGAAGAGAAAGAAAGAGATCAAAAGAGAGAGAGAAAAGGAGAGAGAAGGTACCATCAAAGTCAAATTGATATAAGCTGTGATGCTACACGTAACTGTAAGTAAACCCATGTTATTTGAGATGGGATGATTTAGGCTGGGCTAGCTGCTTCATTCGTCATTGTGACTCGATTTAATGATGATGGGTAGATCCAACAGCTGCTAGATATACATGTACAACTATCTAACTGAGAGAGCATAAACAGTATACACTGGTTTCCATAAACTTATCCTTTAGTATTGCAAATATGTTTCCCCCCAAAAAACAATAAGTCATAATTTATGTTCACTGAACCTGTTTCAAATGTATACAAAATACCTATATATATATATATATAGATATATCTATTTTCAGATATTTCTTCCTTGTTTCTAGAGCATTTTTTAAACTTTTGAAACCTCTTTTCCTGGCCCTAGTATAATACATGTAGCTACAATACCGAGGGCAAAAAATTTGGCCCCTAAACTATGCAATAAAGCAGGGTGCACTTGCCTCATTAAACAAGCCCAGTTTTTCAACTTGCAAGAGATTAATGTACTCCCGGGTAGATGATTAAAAACAGAATGACATCAGGGTATGTCTCTTTTTTAACCATTGCTTATGAATGTTTGATCAACATCGTAGCGTCCCAAATGTAAACGATGACATTTATCAGATTCTTCCTTAGGCAGAAGGGAATTTTTTTGGACATGTCTCTTAGAAATCTTTATTGTGAATCCTGTATAAAATATACTCTAAAGTTTCTGAAGTTTCTGGGAATCGTATACAATGGTAATTCTGTAAGACTTCATTAAAAGTAGTTATGTCATTTATGGAGATCACAGGCCGCATTATTCTTTTTTCTTACCAAGAAATGTTATTTGAAAATGTAATCTAATCAATCAATGTGTCGGAGATTGCCAAAACATTTCCACAAAATGTTATCCCTGTGGGTGGCACATTACGTGGTGTTTTTGAAAGATATTTGCAATGTTGTCTTGGTAAAATGCCTACATAACTACATTAGAAGCTAAAATGTCATCGTCTGAATCCAAATGCAGTTATGACTTTACAATAATGCCAGGTGTCACACTAGTTAAGAAATCTATCATGTCAATTACAAGGGTTACAAAAGCAAAGGAAAACAAAAGAAAAGTAGGGACTATGTAATGAATAATTTTCATGTATTTTACTTGTTTGTCATCTTTAAATTAAAAACAAAAGCAAGTAGCAGTTTGAATTATTGATATTTTCCCATTAAAGGTACTATGTCCCATTTGCAGGCCAAAAAAATGAAAAAGTTAAATTCCAACTGCATTTGAAAGATTATACTAATTTAGAACTTCCCTAAAAAAAGTGGGGCTTGAAAATGTCTTCAAGTGAGAAAATAATGACTATTAGTTGTCAAATCGACTTTAGGGCTATAGAGCCCAAAAGTAATAGTCTTGATTTTCAGACAATTGTACCGAATGGTCATCCGTTTTATGCTGCGCAAAGATTCAATCAGTTTAATCTTGGCCATCACAAGAAGTGGGTTATTGATGTAGACAAATGCTCATGTACCCTTTACAACTCTTTTCATGTATGTTATTACCAAAGAAGAAAAAAAGCCAGTCAGTCACTCAATAGTGTCTGACAGTGAAGTCTAGCAAGTAAACAGGTTTCCTTGCATAATTTGAATATGAGGACACTGCTAACGTTTAAATTTCACAGATAGGACATACATGACATATTCATAATTCCTGCAAAGTTCTACAGAATTTGAGGTTGGCTGCAAAAGGGACATAGTACCTTTAAGGCCTGTTGTAAAATATAATATACATATAACTTTGATTAACCCTTATGAAACATCTCAATTTTCTCTGCTATTTGAGTTAAAATGGTGATGTGCAACAATATCAGCTTACACGAACCCTTCACATTTTTTGAGCTGTCAATTTAATAAACAGCATTGCAAAAGCTAGGCAACCTGATGGCGTTTTAAGGAAAAGGTTGAGAATTAATGAAAAACTGTAACCATATGGTAAGGAGTGTGGCCAATGGTTGAATGTCATTAGTGCTATGTAATTGCATGGGACGTGAAGTCCTAGACGTGATTATCATTATTTTGGCTTCTCTGATGATTGCTCCGATCAAGCTCTTGCTCTTGAACACCTGATGGACCCCTGCTCAGGGCAAGATGCATTTTAATGGTACCCAGAGGATAACAAATATTGAATATATGGATTGGAGATGATCGAGGCCTATGAAGAAAATTGAGATGGAGAGGGAAAGAGAAATGAGAGAAGAAAGGAGAGAAAAGGAGAGAGAGAGAGAGAGAGGAAAGGAGAGAATTAGAGACAGAGACGGAGACAGAGAGAGATAGAGAGAGACGAGAGAGACGAGAGAGAGAGAGAGAGAGAGAGAGAGAGAGAGAGAGAGAGAGAGAGAGAGAGAGACCTGAGGGCAAGATGCATTTTATTGGTGTCCAGAGGACAACAAATATTGAAGATATAGATTGGAGATGAGGCCCACAGAGAAAACTGAGATGGAGAGGGAAAGAGAAATGAGGGAGAAAGGGAAAGAAGGAGAAGGGGAGGGAGGGAGGGAGAGGAAAGGAGACAGAGAGAGAGAGAGAGAGAGGGGGGGTGGAGGACTCTTGCTCTTCAAGAACTGATTGGCCCAAGGGCATGATGCATTTTAATGGCACCCAGAGGATAACAAATATTGAAGATATAGATTGAAGATTAGGCACCTACACAGAGAAAAATGAGAAATGAGGGTGGAAGGTAGAGATGGAGAGAAAGGGAGAGAAAGGGAGAGAAAGGGAGAGAAAGAGGGGGAAGACGGAGAGAGATGGGAAAAAAGAGGAGGGAGAAGGAGAGAGAAAAAGAAGGGGAGGAAAGAGGATGGACGGACAGTTCAAAATGGAGAAGAGAGCAAAATGAAGGAAGAAAAAGTTAGATGGAGGTATCAAAAAACAGAGAGGTGGGAACAATGGAGGGAGGAGAATGAAGTAGGGAAAGAATATTGGATAGCTTGATGAGGAGATTGTAGAAGGTGGAGAGCTCTTGGTTTATACTAGAGGTTTAATTAAACTTTCTTCTTGTATAAGTACAATGCCAATATTGCATAGTTTGCTGTTCATTTTGTGTATCTCAATATAATAAGAGATATCTTGTATGCCTTCCTCCCCCCAACTGATCCTCTTTTTCTTTGGAATACTGAGTAAGCTTTTTTGAGATTGATTTCATACATTTCTAACTATACACATTGTATTTTAAATTGATTGGTATACTTTAAGGGTAGTTGTGATGGATACAAAGTAGACCATGATATGACGTGAGTGATGGAGATGGTCGCGTATAATGAACTCCAAGAAAAAAACACTTTTTATTGAGGATGTCATCAATAGTTTTGACATTTTGATCGTTTGAACATATGGGGGTGAATTCATTGGATATGAAATGCAGCTGTCTGTCCTATTTTCTCTGCTGAGCCCTGAGTCTCGGATTGATTTGAATTGTCCGAGTGAATGTCACCATTTTCCCTGTAGAGATAGTATGTGATCAGCATTTATCATATTTGAGATAAGTACATGTACAGGAAATAGAATTTATACACCAATCCAGATTTGAATAATTTATCATTTGACCATTGACTTATTTCTTAAATCCACTCAAAATTATGTTGGCAGCTAGGAGTTATGTATTTAAAAGTATATATTTTTTCAAGCTTTGTGCTGCATTTTCTGTAGTTTTAGTCCAAGATTTAGACGCTGAAGAATAATATGCATGGATCTGTTAAATATATTGCATGTTTAAAAATATTTAAGTAGATTTAAGCCCAGTTAATCTAATCCCAACCGAAGTTGAGGCGGCCTTAAAAATGTTGCTTTTCCTTGGAAGTAAGGAGCATGTGTCATGCTAAGCCTTCTCTCTCCATCTTTTGAATATCGACAATCCAAGCTTTTAGAGATAAAAAGTTAGAAACAAAAGGTGAATTATTTTGCGGCCGGGTGTCACAGTTTTGTAACTTTGATTTGTTTATTACCTCACTTTAGAAGAAAAGATTGGAGCCACTTAGAGTTGTGAGTATTTATCAACTATTTATCAACTACAATCGAATTCAGACATTAATTGGGGGAATATCTACAGTCTGCTTTAAAATTAGAGTCATCACAAAGCCAAAGGCTAGAATTGAGGAGAGTATAGCACTTCTGAAAACCCATGTCTGCCATTTCAGACATATCACCTTACAGTATTGATCTGATTATAAATGTAAAAGGTGAAAGGTCATATTTGCACTCATCTTATCGTGCAATTGTATGTTTGATAAAAGTTTGCTGTTTCTATTCTTACTGTGTCATCAATGTTTATTTATGAATGCAAAACTATGAAAAATTGAATTGGTTATGTTATCAATGAATATTATTACTTATCTTGTAATAATTGTTTACCTACATGTATGGTATGATATGATGATAATGTTACAGTATATGATATCAATATCATAACGTCAATAATGTTGTATTATTATCATTATCATTTGTTCTTTGATGATATTTTTGTTAACAGAATGTTTAATTTTTCTAACCAAACTTAAATCCCTATTTGTTACAGCGATCCTACTCAGAGTCCTACGTTAAAAAGAAAGGTTAGTTTCAGTGCAAGACAGTCGGACAGCATGCGGCAACACTCACTCTTTCTTTCTTTCAACTCCAGCTTTATTTGTTTTCAACCATTTTCATGTTACTTCAATTCTCATATTCTAACCAGTTCCTAATTCTTGCTTTAGATTGTCTTCATTTGATTTCCAGAGACAGAAAGTTCAACTTTTGTGATGCGTCCTGAAAAATATTCATTTTTTGTTTCAGTTCCCATTGCATTCCAAATTCCAGGCTGCTGTATGTCATGTCATTAAAGCTAGCTTTGTTCTTCGTGTAAAAGTACATGTGCTTGCAAATGGTACCACAATGTCATTTTGGGGTCCCAGTTGCACAAAATGTATCCTGCACATTGTTCCACAATATAAAAGATATGTGTGTGTATGAAATTTAAAAAAAAATTATTCTTTGAAATAAATGTTTATGTGGTATTCACTCATTTTTGCTCTTTAAAACCACCAATTTTGTGAAAGACAAAAGCTCTATATCAACAAAATTAAGCATGAAATATAAGGGGGAGGGGGTAATAATTGAAAATAAAGTCTCACAGAATCAAAGTAATTATACTTAATGCACAAACAAAATTGTGTAGTGTACAAAAAACAAATTTCAACTAGCTTTATCTGTAGAAAACACTTTTGATAGAAAATGTATAAACAAAGCCAAGAAATGGGCAAAGAAATATAGTGAAACATTTTATGTAATTGTCTTGCCCTTGTGCAAAGCTTCCCTGTGAATTTAACTTCACAGAAATCTTTTTCATGCATGGTAAAAACTTCAGAATTACTGTGCCACTTTCAATTGAAATTCCTTGTCAATACCACTACGCATTCAACTGCCAGTAAGTCCTCGTTGCTAGGTTACCACACAAGTATTATTACCAGTTTAGCTGTAGCATCACTCGTATCACTCCAAATCTTCTGATGTCAGTCTCATACCTTTTTTGGTACCTCTGTATTTTGAGCACTCCAGTCACTTTATGTTGTCTCTAAGAGGGTCCAAATACTGGTATTGCAAGCACAGAATGTACGATGCTCGTTCTTAACTTTATAATTCAGGGCGATTCCATGCAATGTGTCCTGGGGGGTGTTTCACAAAGACTAAGATCAACTTAAGTTGGACTTGAACTAGGGCAGGCGATTCATGCCCTTAAAAAGTCTTGAACCAGATGTAAAATTAAAGGGGAAAAACCTTACGAATTATGATTGTTAGATAATGTTTTTCCTTCAATAATAAGGTATCCAAAAATGTGAATTCTGTAGATTTGGGATATCTTTTGAGAGACCAATGGTGAGAGCAACTAGTGGCATTAATGGCCTGTCATAGTTCAAGTCCAATTTAAGTCGATCTTAGTATTTGTGAAACACCCCCCTGTTTGGCATTATGATGTCTATCCATATATTTCACACTTCGAAAGAAAGATCTTGTTCTCAACATGACAAAGAATAATAATAGTGATACAAGCACTATTATTCACTGGTCATATCCAGATATTCTTTAATCGTGGATGAAATATTTGAATGAAAAAAAAATAGATGTAGTTTAGGACACATTGCACAGAATCATCCTACATCGATTATTCTTTTTCAGCTTTGTTTAGTTCTTTTCATGTTTTGATTTAGCAGCATTTCATCAATGACTTGTAATTTTATTTGCGCAAACTCTTTTGTTTTCATGCAGACATGGTTTTCATCTTTTTTTCATGTGTTTTTTGTCTTGTTCTCTTTCCAACCATTTGTGACTATCTTTTGTAGCTTCCCCGTAAGGCCAGTGATCCTATAGGGACAAGGGATTATTACAAGGAAGGTATGAAACACAAAACTGTTAAAAAAACAATGATTGCTGTGAGAAAAAAAATATTAGCATATATGCACATATTCACAAGATGACGTAGAGATTGGGTGTTGGTTAACTAACATAGGTAGTTGGTAATCTCCCCCCCCCCCCACCCCCCGCCCCAGACCATACTCTTTATTTTCTTAGTGCTTGATGGATAGAGATGTATGATTTTTCTTTCAGAGAATCATGATATTTTTATATTTTTTGAAAGATTTAATCCTTGATATTATTATTAAAAATTATCCTTATTTTTGGTGTGGTGCTCTGTTAAGGTTTTTATTTTATATCATAATGCATTGAATTTCAGTCTCTCTCTTCATCTTCGACACTCTCTTGCTCCTTGAGGCCATCATTATCAACCTCCATTTCTCCCTCTCTAGCCACCTATTCTCCCCTTCCCCCCCCCCCCTTCTCTCTCTCTCTCTCTCTGTCTCTCTATTTCTCTCTCTCTGTCTCTCTGTCTCTCTCTCTCTCTCTCTCTCTCTCTCTCTCTCTCTCTCTCTCTCTATTCTCTCTCCCGCTCTCTCTCTCTCTTTCTCTCTCTCTCTCTCACTATCTCACTATCTTCTCTCATTTCCCCATTTCTGCAGTTCATTTTTGTTTTTTCTTCTTTTCTCTCTTGATTCCTGACATATGTTCCTCTTCTTGTCCTTTTCCTTCATCATCGTAGCATGGAATGAAGTTCAAAATATTCAAGATTACCCAGCACGTTGGCTTTACAGGCTTCCCTGCTAGGCAATTTGGTTTGAGATGGCGACAGGGTCTTCTCAATTTTCAGCTATACTGGGTTAATGCATTCCAACCTTCCCTCGAGATGAAAAGTCAAAACTGATAGGTTTCAAATAAAAGCACCCATGCACATCATTTTCTGACCAGGACCGCAAACCTCACTTTATCAAAATAGAGGAAACCAATATATATGCAAATTGAATGTGATCTTATAATTAATTTCCTTATCTCTTCATTCCTGTATATGGTGCTTTCTTCATTATTTTTTATGTAACTACTCATTGGCATTATAAAATAAAAACAAATGAAAAATCTAAGCTGTACAGAGAAGAACTCATGCATTTTTGTTCCAGTTGTTGTTACTATGAATTTCACCTAATCTCTTTGCCTTTTTAAATTCCCCTCCAAAAAAAAAGATATATAACATGTATATAAGATTACAAAATTGGGAAAAAAAAGAACTACTTGCAACTGACATTTCAATTTGTTGATTAGCTTTTGTACTTTTTTTGCTTGTATTTTGTTATTATAAAGTCCATTCAGTGTATTCCTTTTATCTTTTTGAAATATTTCTTTAAATAAATGAGGAATGAAAACTACTTGTGACTGACATGTTAATCTGTTTTGGCATTCAATTTTGAAGCTTTTCTTTTCTCTATCATTTTATGCTGCTTTCATATTTTCTTTCTCTCACTCTCCTGTTTATTCATTTGTTTTTCACTTTTGTCTCCTTTCTCCATTTTTCGTATCTTTGTCACCACCAATATAATCTTGGTTCTCGTATTACCTGTTAGATTGATATTCGTTCAGGTATTACCAACAGTGCAATAATACCTTCAAATTGGCCATTACGATATACGAAAAGAAACACACAAAAAACAAAGTGAAAACACTGAGAAAAAAAATTGTCAAGTGAATGACAGAAAACATAATTTGTCAGTGCATGTTATTCCCTCTGCCTCATCTTCAGAAAAAAATATTATATGCATTTAAGCCGATATTCAACCCCCCCCCCCCCCCATCCCTTCTCATCTATAGTAAAATGTGTTTCCCTCCAGGAGTGGGCCTTATTTTAGATATCAAAGTTATATTTTATGACCTTTATTGGAACCTTCCTGCATCTTTGTAATTCATTATTGTATGCATATAGGTCTACCACTCTTCCCCATCTCTTCTCATCTATATTCCCCTCAAATGGTTGGCCTTATTTAAGATATTAAAGTTAAATTTTGTGAACTTTTTTTTATCACAACCTTTCTCTATCTTCAGAATTCATTATTGTTTGCATACAGGTCTACCCCCCCCCCCCGTCTCTTCCCTCAAATAGTCTGCCCTTTTAAAGATATTTAAGTTGTATATTTTTATTACCTTTTCTTTTATTAAAACCTTTCTTCTCCATCTTCAGAATTCATTATGGTTTGCATGTAGGCTAATACCCCAGTCCCTTCTCATTTCTCTTAAGTGGCTTTCCCTATTTACGGGCAAACCTAGGGGCGATGAAACGTGAGATCCATGGATACATTTAATACCAGAAGTTGAGATTAAATAGGCAATGTGCAGAGTTTTATTCCATGGCATCCTTTATTAGAACCTTTCTCCATCTTCAGAATTCATTATTATATGCATATAAGTCTACCCATGTCCCTTCCCAATTCTAATTCTACATCAAGTAGTTGGCCTTTATTTTAGATATTAAAGTAACATTTTATGATTTTTTATTAGAACCTTTCTCCACCAAGTAGTTGGCCTTATTTTTAGATATTGTAGTTATACTTTATGACCCTCTATATTAGAACCTTTCTCCATTTATAAAAATCATTGTTGTATGTGTACAAGCCTACCCTTGACCCTTCTCATATATGTTTCCTTCAAATAGTTGGACTTATTTTGGATATTAAGCTTGTTATGTTTGATGACTCCCTTATAAGGACCCTACTCCATTTTGTATCTTTGAAGTGGTTTCGACTATTGACATTTAAAGATGCATACATTTAGAGCTCAGTAGAGCTAGGGAAAGTCATTTGAAAGAATTTTTTCGCAGGAGCTTTTAATTAATCATAGTGAAGACATATTATTCAAAGACTAAAAACCCTTGATTAAATGACGGATACAGAATGATTGGAATTAGGACAACTCATTTTAATCATAACTTATTACAAAAATTGGCACAGACAGTTCAATCATTGATTAAATTTTTATTATGACAACCTACAAAGTTTGCTAACTACTGCTACTTTACACACTATTCTTTTTCTCAAAAGAAGAATAAAACATTTGTTGAATTAAAAAAATAGAAAAAGGTGTATGAGAATGAACCTGTGAAAACTAAAATGTACACCAAAATATTTTGTTTAATTCTGAATATGACCATTTTGGGTTGTTGACTTCCCAAAATCAAAACATCTTCATTTGTTATTTGCATGAATTTTCTATAATAGATTGGAAATATTTATCTATAATGTAGTAATTCATTTTTGAAAGAGAAATTAACTCTATAACCCCCATGACCTTCACTGTGACCTTGTCTACCCTTCACTCATTCAAACTCTTCAAGTGATTTGTTTATTTGTTTTGTGTACTTCATATCTTATACATCCATTCTTTTAACTCATGAGCTCAATTACACAAACTGTTTGAAAAAACATATGTTTTATCTTTGTTTATTTGTTTTGTTTGCTTGTTTTGTGCTTTGCATTTTGTTATCTCCATTTCTTCTACATTCATTCATTAAATTCCCTTGCTCAATTACACAAACCTGTAAAAAAGCATTGTGTTTTGTTGTGCTGTTTGTTTCTTTGCTTTTTTTTTGCTGTCTCTATTTTTTCCTATTTTCATTCGTAAAATGCACTTGCTCAATTACACAAACCTATTTTATAACCATCTTACTAATTCACATTTTATATCTTTCATTTGTTTTGTTTTGTATTTGGTTGTTTGTTTTTTGTTTGTTTGTGTTTTGCTGTCTCCATGTCTTCCAAATCCTTTCATTATATTCACCATGCTCCTATTAAACAAACCTATCAAATTCTTTCTCTATAAATTTGAAATCATATGATATGCGGTGCAACTTCTGCTTCTGATATCTAGAAGATGAGAGCCTGAAGGGCGTTAACTCATAGCTTAAAGTGGCATGTTCCCCGTATTCCAGAGGGCGTTCAAAATACGTACCCGCTGGCGGACGATGCTAGCTGCCTATTGACACCAACAGAATACGGCTCTTACGCGCAGATGGCATGTTCCGAATGCCCGCACAATGCCGATTGTCACATACATGTGCCGAAGTAATACCAATCGCAGTTCGGTTCTAAGATTCGGCTGCTGTTTCCGCCCACTTACGTGACGTCAGGATCGGCAGCGATCAGCTGGCTGGACGAAGGCAGGCCAGGCCGCGCGTACTTTGATTGACAGCTGTATGCAAATTACAAGTCGATCTTCGGAACCAAGATGGCGATGACTAGAGCAGTGATAACTACAATGGCGGGAACGTGCCTCTTTAAAGAGATGATTTAATGCCCTTTGGCTCTTGGCAGATGACATCATCTGTTGAGAGCCAGAAGGGCATTAAAGGAAACCAAAACCTTCATACTAAGTTACTTTTATTGTAAAGTTTAAAAGATTTGAATAAAATCAGTGAAAATTTGAAAAAAAATCGGGCAAGGAATAAGAAAGTTAGAGCGTTTTGAAATGACTAGTCACTAGAGGGCAGTATTCAATTTGATGACATCATCTGTGAACAACTCTCCATGCCTTTTGTACATAAAATTTCACCTTTTTCTTCGTATTTATTTGTGTTCTTGATCCGACTTCATAGCATGTGAAGTAGAATATCATTTTGCATTCTATATCTTGCTTTCAGGGGAGTACATTATCTCAATCACAAGAAAGAAGGAAAAACATGAAATTTGATGTACAAAAGGCATGGAGAGTTGTCCACAGATGATGTCATCAAATTAAATACCGCCCTCTAGTGACTAGTAATTTTAAAAAGCTCTTACTTCCTTATTCCTTTCCCAATTTTGTTCAAATTTTCACTGATATTTTTCAAATATCTTAAACTTTACAATAAAAGTAACTCGGTATGAAGGTTTTGGTTTCCTTTAACTTTGTGTTAAAGTATGTGAGTTAACGTCCTTCTGGCTCCAAACAGACAACATATTCATTACAAATGTTGTCATTATTTATGTGTTTGATATTTGGTAAATTGCATGGTACCTGCCCACTCATTCCCATTCTATTCAGACTGTGGAGGAAATCTGAAGGAGCTCAGAGAAAGTACAGTGTACAAGACAGATTTTATTTAATTTTTGTTAAAAGGTTTGAGAATGTTCATTGAAATTTTGCAGTATTCATTGCATCATCAATGCGATAGGCTGCACAAAATGATGTTTTGAATGAAATCAAAGCTTGACAAAAACTTAGAACCAATTGTTAATTACAAAGACTTTTCAATACGAAAAGACACTCAACTAATTTTTTCATGGAAGCAGAACTCTAAAGCTAAAATAAATATTACAAAAATAAAAATGATTGAATAGCATTATTGTATTGTTTTGTTTTAAAATGTCTTGATATTAGAGAATATTATATGTACCTACAGTCATAACGTTCATTGTTATGTAACTTTTTATAAAGACAATAGAGTATAGACATGTATAATTTTATTTCTGCCATTCTTTGCATTGTTTCATGTCATTATTCTCCATCGCTATGGCAACAACAGAGGAGGAAGATATGACCTTTGTGAGGTTTATGAAGAATCACAAATGTTATGAGATCATCCCGACCAGCTCCAAACTAGTCGTCTTTGATGCAGAGTTATTGGTAAGTTCAGACAAATTCACTCTCAAGAGAATATCACCATGATTGCTTTTTTTCCCAGGGATATATTGCATTGTTATCTTGATTGAAGAGCAACTGGGACTTGGTTCATGCAGCGTAGATGAAGAACAATTTCTTTATTAAAAGGATTCAGTGCTGATTTCCCTGTCCTTCTCTTTTGTTTACTATTTTTAAGGTACCTTGATATATATTCCTTCTCATTCCCCCTTATGCTACGGTCACAAAGGTTCGTACGAACGATAATTTCGTACAAATCTCCCGGTTTTTCCATTGTCTTCCTGAATTTCCATTGTCTGAAAATCGTTTGTACGGCTTTCGTAGCAGTTCGTAATGGCATTTGTGACCGAGGCTTTACTTATCTGTAATTCCTGGGTTGTATGTCTCTCTGTTTTTCCTCGCTATTATAGAAAATACTCTAATTAAAAATTGGCAAATATGGCACTTTAATGCAGATTACTGACATGGATGATGGCCATTAGGGTAAAGTAGCTACTTGGAAGCAAGTTTAACATTAATGGTACATGCACTTTGAAAGTAAAGAAAAGTAGAATTAGGAGAGGGAGAGAGAGAGAGAGAGAGAGAGAGAGATAGAGATAGAGATAGATGGAGAGTAATAATAGAGATTCTCTCTGTCCCCCTCTCTCTCTTTCTTTCTCTTTTTTCCTTTATCTCTATCTCTCTCTCTTCATCTATCTCTCTCTCTCCCTCCATCTATCTCTCTCTCTCCCTCTCCCAATGCTACTTTTCTTTACTTTCAAAGTGCATGTACCATTAATGTTAAAATTGTCTCCAAGTAGCTACTTTACCCTAATGGCCATCATCCAAGTTAGAAATCTGCATTAGAGTGCCATATTTGCCAATGTTTAATAAAAGAGTACCAGTATGTTGAACCTGGCTGGAACAAGAAGCCTTCTGAGAAAAGTTAAATGTCACTTGAGGTTACTATATACTCTGTGCTAGGTTCTAAGAGTGAGTGGCGATGCTTATAACAAATAATAATAATGGTGGCTTCTTATGTAGCGCACATGTCCGTCACGTTGTGACGCTCTTGGCGCTACCCAATTATTACCCTGGCTTTAGCAAGAACGGCCACTACGGCGCTCTCGCATTTCAAGGAATTAGTTCCTGCCAGGTACCCATTTACAACACCTGGGTTAAGTGTGGCAACGTAGATCAAAGTCTTGCCAAAGGACATTAGTGCTCATATTTTGATCATTTACTTCCAGAGCTCGTTAAAAGCTTTTTAGAGCTTTCCAGGGCTCATTTGTAGCCTCCAGATCTTCATTTTCCTCTGCCTCCTGTATATTTCATATCCCTTATCCTTCTTAAGTCGGTTTTTTTTATGGCAGCATTAATATTCTGTCCATATGAGAGCGATGTAGAATTTTTTTATGGTGCATTTGTCGACACTGATCCTGACATATGGAGGTGTCTATTTTGACATTTCACTATAAGACACTCAAGAATATCTTTTTTTTAGCCTTCCCTAATCCTTGTTAAAGGTAAAGACCAGTATTGGTAACGCCCCAATTTCAAAAAATGAAATGGAAGCTCTCATTACCAATCATGTGAAAGAATATGTTTTGACTAATACATGATGATAAAAAATTTGCCGGGAAACCGCCTACTAATTCATATATTTGGTAAATTTATCTCTCTCATGGTCGTGTGAGAGAGATAGGGTAGTCCCATATACATCTTTCTGTGTATAGATCTAGTGCTTGTAACTTTACGAAGAATGGGCCAAATTTCTTATCATTTTGATGATTCCAGAACCTTGCAGATGCTAGATGCTAGATGATCAACCTTTTCTGATCGATTCCACAACGTTTCTTTCACAATGCAATCGCATGACCATTACTGGTCTTTACCTTTAATGTCCAAAAAATAGTAGTTGACATGAAATTGCAAAACTTCTTATACATTTACAGTTAGATACACCCAAAGCTGTAGGAATTAAGTATGACTATGCTTACCGGTGTTGTATGGACTTTAAAGCCTATCTGCACTAGTTTGGCCTGGAGGGATTAGACCACCCAGGGAGTTCACTGATTGGTGGTTATCTCATCAAATCAGCTCTCAATTAACATAAGCAAAAGTTGATCCTTGGGGACCAATGGGTACCACTAAGGCATTGTTTGGTATAACGAGGGGGCAGGTAGGTACAAGTAGTGCAGTGGGGCTTTAAACGAGTTTGTTTTTTATTTGTATTTCTTTACTTGTTGTTGCAGGTGAAGAAGGCTTTCTATGCCTTGGTGTACAATGGTGTCAGAGCAGCTCCACTATGGGACAGCTCAAAGCAAGACTTTGTGGGTAAGTGTTCAGAAAGCCAGATTGCAGTTAGAATCCTCCCCCAAAGACCAATGAATAAGATGCTTTTTGACTTGTGGAAAGGTCAGAGTTTCACAAAGATCCTAAGTTGAACTTAACTCTTAAGTTAGACTTGAACATTGTGGAGAGCCATTTGGAGCCTTAAAATAAAATATATTCAACAGCAAAAATTCAAGTATTTTAGACTTTTCATAAATTCCACATCAAGAACATGAAATCTCCCTGATAATAGAAAATATGAATGATTCGAATCAACATTTAATGCCTTTTAAAATAACTTTTACAAAATATTTTCAAATATGCTAACGTCCCATAATTTTTAAGTCCAATTTAGAGACAAGTTCAACTTAGGGTTTTTGTGAAACACCCCCAGGTCTCACCATGCATTCTGATGTATATCAACTGTAAAAAGGAATCCAATCCTAATAGCAAACTACTCTAAAAGAATGCAGGAAAATCAGACAAGCAGACTGGTGAAAGTTTGAATGTAATCGGACAAAAAACAAGAAAGTTATGATTTTTTTTTAAAAGTTGTAATCACCAAATGTATGGGCACTTCAAATGGGCTGTATCGATAATGTCATTATGGCAAAGTGTAGGATGTAAATTACATAACTTCCAGGTGTACATGCACTTAAAAGTTTCAAAGGGAAATTAATCATTCATGAAAAGTTGAATTAGATGAAAGCAGAAATGTCAGAAAAGCAAATTCATTAAAGTTATCAAACAAAGGAACAGGAAAGTTATGATGGTTTCTCAGAGTCAAAATCTTTATTGAAGCGACAGAATCTTCTCTTGGCAATTTCAATGTAGAAAATTTGCAGGACATTTACAGCGAGCAATTAAGTATATTTCTGGAGTAATCACATACATGCTTTGATTTTTTAATTTTTAAATACAGGTATGCTGACAATAACAGACTTCATCAACATCCTTCAGTACTATTACAAATCACCATTGGTAAATATATGCATCGATTTAGGTTTGAAAAACCTACTAGTTAAAGATAAAGTTGAGTTCTGGTCATGCGATTGCATTGTGAAAGAAACGGTGTGGATTCGATCAGAAAATGTTGATCACCTAGCATATAAGTATTGGTGTGTACTGCAAGTTCCTGGTATTATCAAAATGATAAGAAATTTGGCCCAGTCTCTGTAAAGTTACAAGCACTGTACACAGAAAGATGTATATGGGACTACATAAAAATTTGGACATGTCATATTTAGAATATGAAGGCATATGAAGAGCCATGCTTTTCAGGCAACATTTGTTATTTGATGTTCTTCCACACTTGCATAATAGAATGATAACGCTCACAAATTATTTTTCGCCTCTTCCCAGAACTCAACCCTCTCTTGAAACCTTGTTCATGTATGAAGTAGAAAGCTGCGATGGTTTTTTAATTAATTAGTTTTGAATGACCTTAAAGATAAACTTCAGTTCTGGTAATGCGATTGCATTGTGAAAGAAAAGGTGTGGAATGTATCAGAAAAGTTGATCATATAGCATGTAAGTAATGGTGTGTAATGCAAGGTTCTGGAGTCATCAAAATCATCATAAATTTGGCAGAGTCTTGGTAAAGTAACAATCACTTACACAGAAAGATGTATATGGGACAACACATATGGTGTTGGGGCTAGTACTACCCTGATTTCCTTATCTTTCTATGCTCATTACTCAGCCAGTATACATTTTCTTCCAAAATTGTTTGGCACATGTCATTTATTTGTAATCTTGAACATTCAGTATAAGTTTCGTTTGATTCTGTGAGAATTAATTTTTTTTTTTACCAGTACTGGAGTTTATCTTTAAGGTAATGCGCTCCACATCCCTATATATCATAACACACAGAGCTCAGTGAATATGGGCAGGACCTTTGTTACATGCAGCTGCCATTCATCTACACATGAATTTATAATTTGTAAAAAAAGCGTTGCGGTTTAAAACAAAATGGCTGCTGTATGTGCAGAAATTCAAGCTCTTTCTCCTATTAAATGCATCTGGCTTTTTGTTAAGGACTCTGAATCCAATGTTTTTTAGCCAAAGCACAAAATGTGGAATGATTGTCGTGAAAGGGACTATATGATTTTGTCTGCTGAGAGCCTGTAGGGCATTCACATTAGGCCTGTCTTCATCAGCTCAAGTTTGCTAAATAACCCGCTTTATTAACTATTCCGATCGCGAATTAGCCAGTTAATTTGCGTCTTCATCAGCCCGCAGTTGCAATTAGTGGGATATTTGGTCAAGAAAATATCCAGAGAAATCTTGGTCTTGTTTCCCAAAAAACTTGCTCTTTGGGATATAGGGGGCTAATTTGCACCCGCCTGAGCTAGTTTGTGATGAGCGTATTGTTTAAGTGAAGACGCAATTTCAAGCTTCAGGATAATATCCTGAGTCTGGAAATAACGGGTTATTTGGCAAACTCGAGCTGATAGGGACAGGCCTAGTGTGTATTATTATGTGTCAACATCTTCCTGGCTGTTAGCAGATGATACACTGTATGCTGAAGAAGTACAGCATGTCTTTCATGTTTAACATCATTGATATACTTCAAGAAAGGCTTGGGAGTATATGCTTGACTCTGGTTTGAGGTTTTCTCTTTTTTTTTCTAATTTAATTGAAATTTTGATGTATAAGATGTTCATATCTACATCTGATTTAATAATAGGTGTACATTTTTTTCTTCTTCAGTGATTTAGCATGTAAATGAATTTGTGTGTCTATCAAGATGCAAAACATGACCTCCATTATTAAAGGGATCCGGTAACTTTGTCTCAGATTCTGAAACAAAATCCTGGATTTAGCTCATGCTGCAATGATAATTTTAAACCTTTAAGTCAGTCAGGAACTCCATGACTTTTACAAGCCGATCGCTTGTCTGATTAGCAAGATATTTATGATTGGAATTCAAAATTTCAAAAATAATTTTCCCCAACGGTTTTTATGACACTACAGTCTATTGGGGAAAATGAGTATGGTAAAACCAGTCACTCAAGATTTTTACTTTTTTTGAGGCACTTCATGATCATTTTGAAGAGTGATTTTTAAGGGCTTCAATTTTTGCACCATATCACAGACACTGATAACACATAGGACCATGCAAAACAGATTTGTAAAACTGGAAACATTGTTAAACAATGCCTTTAAAGGCATCGTTTAACAATGTTAAATCTGAGATGCACAGCCATACGTGCTTCACTTAAGCCTGTAATGGCTACCTGTATATTATTCAGAGAACATTGAATGTTTCTTTGTGCCTGGCAAAAGTATAGCATAAATGCTATGTCTACTGGTGACATCCATGTGGAAAATTCCTCATTGAAATGTACACATGGATGTAGATTTTATTGATTGGTATGCTGTTATCCTTGGGCTCTATTTTGAGGTATGGGAAAAGCCATTTGCCATTAAAAAGCTCTTTCTCAAGCTTGTAGCATTAGTGCATGGATTCTGATTTTACTGCAAATTGTTTAAATTTGTTCACTGCATGCAATTTGAAATGTCTGTGTGATGAGTAATTGAAAATAAATCTCTTTTCTACCCTTTCTGTGTCTCTGTCTCTCTCTGTCTCTCTGCCTCTCTCTCTCTCTCTCTCTCTCTCTCTTTCTCTCTTTCCCTCCCTCCCTTCTCTCCATCCTTCTCTCCCTCCCACTCATTTTTCTTTCTGCCTCTCCTTTTCTTTTCTCTCTTTCCTTGTCTCCATGTTTCATTCTTTCTCTTATTCTCTATCTCTCTCCCTCTTTTTAATTTTTTTTTTCTGTCTCTTCATGACTGTCTCCTTTTACTCTTTTGCTTTTCCTTTCTTCCCCCTTCTCTCTCTCTCTCTCTCTCTCTCTCTAATCCATCCCTCTCTTTCTTTCCTCTCTATTTCCCACTCCATCCCTAGGTCAAGATGGATGAGTTAGAGGAACACAAGATAGCGACATGGAGAGGTGAGAAAAAGATAGCAACAACAACAAACTTGCATCAATTCATATATTTTCAAAAGAACTGCATATTTTTCTATAGTGCCTTCCATTCAACTTGGTTTATATAAGCAGGAAATATAATAAGACTGAATTTTAGAAACTGTTGGAAGGGAAAGGGGGAAGTGAGTTTAATTTAAAAGTCAGTTGATCAAGCAAGGAACAATGTATGACCCCACCCCCCCCCCCTTCATTATTGAATAGATAGATGTGATAAAGAGGTTTGTAGAAAGCAAGATATGAGAGAACCTTGATGTACATTTAACATTTAAAGAAATAAAACCATAATACACAGATAAGCACAGTTAATCATAATATCTTCTGTCATCCTCTTCTTGTACAACTGCTTAATGTTTTAACAATTATTTGTCTTTTTATTTTTACAGAGGTGTTAAAAGAGAAAGCCAGACCGCTTGTGTGGATCAATCCAGATCAAAGGTTTGTTTACATCTCATTCATTGAATTCATCTTGGAGAGAATTTTTATGGGAACTTGCAGAAATATCATTGAAATCTGAGAATGATTACCTACTTGAGTCTGACTGTCTACTTGAAAAGGGCTATAAACAATGTCTCATGTAGTTTATCATTAACCGCAATGTGTCAATCTCACATGTTTTTGTGTCAAATCTAAGCCAATGAGAGTAGGAATGTAACTTTGGACTTATACAAGCACCAATTTACATACCAGGGGAGTGATTCACAAAGATTAAGATCGACTTTAAGTTGGACTTAACTATGGCAGGCCGTTCATGCCACTGTTTACTCTCACCATTTACTGGCATTGGTCTCTTAAGGGACTTACAAATCGTGGGCACAAATCTACAGAATTTAAATTGATTATTGAAGGAAAAGATATTGTTCAAAGATCATAATGGTGAGAGCGAACAGTTCACAATATCTCTATTGTATCATTCAAAAGAATTTTCCTCCTTTGTTTCCCTTTAGTTTGTTTGAAGCTGTTAAGATGCTCATCCAACAGAAGATACATAGGTTACCAGTCATAGACAACGCTACCGGCAACGTTATCTACATCCTCACTCACAAGCGTATACTCAAGTTCCTTGCTCTACTGGTAAGCTATGCTTTGAAACTATCAATCCTTTAAAACAAAGTTGAGTTCTGGTCATGTGATTGCATTGTGTTAGAAAGTGTGATTGGAAAATGTTGATAGTGGAGCATGTGTAGTGTAAGGGACCATGACTTGATACTTGACTGGAAAATCATATTTGCAGTACATGCTTAAAGATGAAGTTGAGTTCTGGTCATGCGATTGCATTGTAGAAGAAACGGTGTGGAATCGACCAGAAAAGGTTGATCATCTAGCATATAAGAATTTGTGTGTATTGCAAGGTACTGGAATCATCAAAATGATAAGAAATTGGCCAAGTCTTGGTAAAGTTACAAGCACTGTACACAGAAAGATGTATATGGGACTACACGAACGCGTGGCGTAAAAAACCTACCCCCGAGTTTTACGATGTACATGACATATTTAGAATATGAAGGCATTTGAAGGCATTTGAAGAGCCATACTTTTCAGGGAACATGTCTTATCTGATGTTCTTCCACACTTGCATAATAAGAGTGATAACGCTCACAAATTATTTTTCACCTCTTCCCAGAACTTAACCTTCTCTTTAACTTTGTGACATATTTTCAGGGGTTATCTTCTTTTTTTTTTAATGACGTAAATTGTATTACGCTTCACATTTGTGTATCTTATATAGAGCTCTATGAATACATACAGTACCTTTGTTGCACACAGTTGCCATTATTTACACGTTTTAAAAAAAAGATGGCGGCTTGTTTGGGGCACGATTCACAGTGCCATATCTGAACGAGCCGTAAGTTTACTTAGCCTGCCATTTGAAATACATGTCTCTTTAAGTTTATGAACTCATTTACACCGTGTATTTCTCTTGATGCTTGATATCGATACCATTTTACTACTCTGTTTTTCTGTGATGTCTTTTCTTTGCAGCAAAAGACTGAAATAAAGAGTCCCTCCTTCCTGAAGAAGACCCTCAAAGAACTCAACATCGGGACGTACACCAACATTGCCACAGTGAGTCAAGATGGTTTTCATGTTTCATGAATGTCTACTTTGTAATACAGACATGTACTGTACATATACAGTCAAACCTGTCTATAGCAACCACCGAAGGGAAACACAAAAAGATGTCTTTGCAGACAGGTTCCTTCAGTACATGTTTCAATGAGAAACCATTTTTAAGGGAAACAAAAATTGTGGTCTTTGTAGACAGGTGGTTACTAAAGCAGGTTTGACTGTGATTACATATTGCCATCAAAGTAAGTCAAGTAAATGCACAAGGAGTATATTTTCTTTTAAATTTATGCAGAAATTTAAAGTAAAGCCGTTTACAAAATAAATGGTAATACCATAGTGCTATGGACTAACTTTCGATTTTGCTTAATAGGTCAGCCATTTTTTAAATTTTCATCAACCCATTTTATCTGTATATGTTTTATTTACTCTCAATGGAATCAACATATTTTGGGGAAGGACTCATGTTTTAAAGAATGTTTACTCAATTCTTTGAAAAAATCTGAATGGAGGAGGGCTGGAAGTTATAGAGCACAATACTCCACAAGGAAAGGCTGTTAAACTATTTACAATTTCTTACCATATTGAAAACTGTAACTTTCTATGTGCACATATAACAAATAATTGGGTGACACCTTTTCAACCATTTGGATACCGGCTATTAAACAAACACCCTATTTTCTATATCCTGCACCTTTACTTTTCCTTCTAATGAGCTGAGGGGATTTAAACAAATCTGAACTTGATGTTCTTGAGGTGTTGTCGAGGGGGTTCGATCCCGACACAGCACTAATGTCCTTTGGCAAGGCTTTAATCTTCATTTGCCACTCTCTACCCAGGACAGACCTTGTATGATGCCGAAAGCCTTTGTTTTTTTTCTGCCATATGGTAGAAATACTCCCCAGGGAGTGAAGATGGTGCACATTGTGCATGAATCGATTCGATGACCAGGGTAATAACATCTGTAACGCGCTTAGGAACATTATATGGTATTAAGCGCTATAAAAAAAAATCCAGATTATTATTATTATCATTGTTTTGAATGTGATCTTGTTTGTTTCAGGCTCGACCCGACACACCTCTGATAACAGCTCTCAACATGTTCATCAACAAGAGAGTATCGGCCTTACCCATCGTAGACGAGAACAACAAGATTGTGGACATCTATGCCAAGTTTGATGTCATCGTAAGTTACTTAAACCAATCAGTGTTTTTAAGAAGTATGATGATATGATGCTGTGGTATTGACCAGGGGCGCGATTTCTTTTCATGACCGGGAGGGAGGGGGGGGGGGGGGGGGGGGGGGGGGGGCGGAATGAAATGGGAGGGACGAGGGAGCATAGTGAACGAGAGGGGCGAAGCACTGATCTATTTCTAACTCTTAATCTTATATACATAGAGTGTCAACTGTGCTTGCATGATACCAACGGAAATACAGATTTTTCCTGCAATATTTACTTGTACATTTTGAAGGATATTATGCGAGGGGGGGGGACATGTCAAAGGTTAGGCTAGTCTAGGGAAGGAGGAGTGGTGAGTTACATTTATTTTAGGGTCGTGTATTTTTCACTCAAACTGAGTATCATTCATCATTCTAACCCCTCCAGAATCTTGCTGCTGAGAAGACCTATAACAACCTAGACATCACCATCCAGCAAGCGCTACAGTTCCGTCAGACATACTTTGAAGGTGTGAGTACGTGCAAGGCTTCAGAGACATTAGAAACCATCATGGAAAGGATCATCAAAGCTGGGGTGAGTTTATAGAAACTTCTTCTCCTCTCTCTCTCTCTCTTTCTTTCTCTCTCTCTCTCTCCAGAGGAATTAAAGTTGCTCAAGCGCGGGTATATAGAGGACAGCACATGGACGTATGCCAGGAGCGTAATACCTATTGGCTCGGTATTATGTAGTGATTGTCAAGTTGCCTACTTCACGAATGACGATATACCCACGCATGAACATCTTAAAGACAACAATGATATGAGTAGGAGCACAAAATCCAGAGAAACAAATGAGTGAAACCTTTAATTAATATAGGACAGAGTATGAGGAATATTTTTAAGTTGAGATGACTACAGTTACGCAGAAACATCCTTCGGACATGTAGTTGTACTATGTTATATTAGAACTGGGGGTGTTTCACAAAGTAAGATCGACTTTAAGTTGGACTTAACTATGGCAGGCCACTCATTCCACTGTTTGCTCTCACCATTTACTGTAATTGTTCTCTCAAGGGGCGTACAAATCATGGTCACAAATCTACAGAATTTACATTCTTTTATATTTCATTATTGAAGGGGGAAAATCAATCAATCTTAGTCTTTGTGAAACACCCCCCTGTACAAACACAAATGGAAAAGAGCTTTCTGTCAGGCTTTGCGAAACTATATATGATGATTCTCATCAATAGATGGAAAAATAGAAGGAGAGTCATCCACACAACTTTTCCCATTTTGTTCCCTTCGACCGTTGTGGTCATCTTGGGATCTGGAAATTCTCTAAAATGTCTCACAGAATTAAACCAAACTTTAATTTTGGTAGCTGATTAAGAAAGCTAAGAGAGATAGTAATATCATGTGATGTTACATGTGCAAAATTGAGCTGCGTTTTTCAATGTTGTTATTTCCTGCAGGTTCTCATTTTGTATTCAGATTTTTTCTGGTCCAAATAAGCAATTTAGAGGTTGATGAACCATTCGCAATTCCATAACATCTTTGTGAACTGAATTCTGGACCTGTTTGTACTATTTTTCCTCTTGGATGATATTTGAATCTGGTTTTTTATTCCACTTCTCTTCTGACAGGTCCATAGGTTAGTTGTGACTGACGATGAGAAGCATGTGATAGGCGTCATCTCACTTTCAGACATCCTTAATAGTTTAGTGCTCAAACCAGCAGGTAAGATTCCCATGGATACGATGATGATGGGGATGGGGATGGGGATGGGGATGGGGATGGGGATGGGGATGGGGATGGGGATGGGGATGGGGATGGGGATGGGGATGGGGATGGGGATGGGGGTGGGGGTGGGGGTGGGGGTGGGGGTGGGGGTGGGGGTGGGGGTGGGGGTGGGGGTGGGGGTGGGATGGGGATGGGGATGGGGATAGGGGTGGGATGGGGTGGGGGTGGGGTGGGGGTGGGGGTGATTATGGTGGCAATAATGATAGGGTGGTGGTGCTGGTTGTGGTCTCTTTTCATTTGACGCAATTTAACATTAAAGGGAAAGTCCACCCCCAAAATAAGTTTGTTTCGATAGAGGCAGAATAATAAGAAAATCAGGTGAGTGAAAGTTTGAGCAAATTCTGAATGAAAATAAGAAAGTTATGAATTATTGAAGTTGTGATCAATCAAATACAAATTGGCAACTCTGTGACTTATTATACGAGCTCTCCTTCATTTGCTTTGTGCATAATATTCCATAAAATCATGTTTTCTTCGTTATTGATGACGGAATATATATTTGTTCCTTGCAGGGGGAGTATAGAAACATATTTGCAATTATTATATTTAGGGTGCATGTATGGTTGAAATTTTTCTTGAGGGAAAATGAAAATTTTAGATTTTTTTAGTACTGAGCAAATGGAAGTTGAGCTCGCATGATACGTCATAGAGTTGCCAATTTGTGTTTGATTGATCACAACTTCAAAAATCCTAACTTCCTTATTTTTAATCGGAATTTGCTCAAAATTTCACTGACTTGTTTCTCTCATTTTTCTACTCCTATTAAAACTAACTTAATTTCAGGGTGGACTTCCCCTTTAAACATAAGTGTACATACAAATCAATTTGTGTTTTTACAACAGGGGTCATTTATCCCCTGGATCCTTCTCTAAACCACTGGCTTTCAAATTGTTAGGTTTGTTTGTGAAGTCTTTTAATCATCAACCAATAATTATATTTTCTCTCTTTGCTTTTTCTTTCTCTCATCCAGGTGTACCTAGTAGAAAGAGCAGCTCATCATCGTCAACACAAGGGTCGCCGCGGGTATAGCAGGGTCACCAGCAGAGGGCAGTATTTCCTACAAGTACTAGCAGTTGGGTATCAGTTCTTATGTTCCTCAGAGATCGTACAAGGAGGGCTACGTGGTTTAGAAGAACCATCATGAGCACAATAACATACGGTTGCTTGATGTATCGGGTTCCAGGCCATGGATTGCCTGCTAGTGCATCCTGCTGTATTGGAGATCATGCAAAGTCATCTCATCGCCAAAGATATTCCCTGACTTATTTTCTCTGTCATTTTTTTCATTGTCACCAATGTCTTCATGATGTTATAAAAATATTATATTTTTATTTTATTTGAGAATTATAGTAGAATCACCACAGGCACACAGGGATCATAAATAGAAATAATTTTCTTTGTGGTATACAGTCAATAGAGTTCTACAGAGCTTACACGTTTGCAAAGAGTTACATGTACATGTATTATAATTGCACTTTTCAAAGTAAACCTTTTGGCAACATTTATATCTTTTTGAGACATGAGTCGAATTAAAAGATGCACGAGTGTTTGGGAATTCCAAGCTCGTAGCAGAGTTAAACACAAAGAAATTGCTTTATTTGTGATATTCCACCTTGTGTTAGCTTTGGTCAGGCATGTCATTTGAGCAGCTCGCTAGAAAAGCTGAAGACAGGAAGATATGGAGAACCTGTGTCTCAAGGTCCATTTCATTGTAGCCTTAACGGCCTCCAACCAAGCTATGGGACATAGATACCTGTAGCTAGATTTGGTTAGTTAATTTTGGTTGCTGGGCTAAAATGTTTAAAGAGTTCACAAATCACTCATTAACCAATTGAGTACTAGATTATCTAATTCACATAGGCTTAACACAGGGACGACCCGGTTCCAGTAAGCAAAGGGTTAAAATCTTCCAGGATGAATCTGGAGTTTGGATGATTCAGTAAGATCAGGTGGAAGGGAATGACGGAAGTTGGAAGGACGGACGGACGGACGGACGGACATTTCAAATGTTGTCTCTCTAGGTCTTTTCTTATATGATGCTGTAAACATATGGATTGTAGGAATCAAAATGGGAAAAGTTGGTGGCCAGTATACCACTTGTATCTACTACAACTCGCTTTACTTACCTATCTGTTATCATAGTTGCCAATCTCCGATTAGAATTGCCCCAATACCTGAGATTAAGAAAGTTCTTTGAACCTTCAAAGAACTTTTTCAGCTACGGGGCGCAATTCTAATTGGCTTTAGAATGGCAATTATGAAGTAGATAGGTAAGTAAAGCCGACTCATAGATAAAATGTTAGGTCACAAACATACAGATATGCTTTAGAAAAGAGTTCTGTGACACATCCAACATTATTCACCTATGTGACAGTTTGGGTGTCTAAGTCAAGACGTATACTGGCGGACTGAAGCTAGCTGCCATTTTAAAAAACTTTAGTCTGCTTCAGTCTGTCAGCACAAATCTAAGGAAGTTATGTGGACTTACGATACAAAAATTGTCACACAGGTCGTTAAATTGTAATGTGTCTTGGAATTCTTATCTAAATTATTTAAACCATCTTTTCTAAATTATTCAAACCATCCTGATCAAATTGTTAGTCACTTGTATAAGGTTCTGTAACACTGCTATTCTTTCTCCTGTCTTGACAATGTAAGTGTCCTTTCTGCATGTGTTACACGGAATCGAGAGTTAATACTTTGATAATTTTTTATCAAGCTTTTGATTATTTATTTTGATTACATTGTGATTTTCTACTGAAATATTGGAACATGAATTTATGTTTGCTTTTGCATGATATTCTTTTCCCTGAGAAAAAAATGGAACATATCCCATTTTCCTTGGAAATTTGAAGATCAAGCTCACATATTTTTCAAAGTGATGCTCACATAGTAGGATATGCAGAGTAAAGAGAAACACATGGCAAGGAATGGTTGTATACTTTAATAACTTCATGCATAGGGACTTGCTGGTAGAATTTATGAAACTGTACATGTAACTATATCATTATAGAAGGAATATCTAAGTACTGAGAATGTTCCTTTGAACTTTGTAGCATTGAAAATCTTTACAAAGGAAAGTCCTTTATTTTAAGCTATCATCCCTATATGATATTGTTAGAAGTATATTTTTGAACCCCAATCGAGTTCAAGATTGTACAACAACTTGGAAAGGGCTTCATGGTGTCAATATATTCAGGACTTCCAGATTTGTTCAAGTTATTAAAACAAATATTTCCCCAACCACCATCATTAAAAATTGTATACCCAGTTACCTGTACTTTATGAACAAATGTTTGTTCAATTTGTTTTTTCTTGACTTACTTTTTATTTCTTGTGGTTTTAACAAACTTGGGAACCTATGTGAAGACAAGTATGTTTTCTTTGCAATAATTTTTATTTTAACTCATATTTTGTGAATGGACTATGATTGCATGTATACTTCATTTTTTTTTCTTTTGGTGATTTTTTGTTTGTTGCCAAAAACCTGTATAAATGTAAATAGAAAGCAAAATGAAATAATTTGTAGCAAATTGTTTTTGAAATATTTAATATTGATATCACTAATGATCACTTTGATTTGTTGCTTGTTATCTCGTGGATATGATTCAAGTGTGTTGTCATTGTTAACAAATGAACATCACAACAAAAGTTCAAGTTTCTAGGAAGTTTGTTTCTTTTCCCCCTGTCTAATTAGATAATTTGTATACCTTTTCCTGTGTCTGAATCAAGAATTATCTGATTCAAAAATTGTCTGATTCAAGAATAGTCAACAATTATTTTGGTAAGTGAGACCCAAAATACTTGCTTCTACACAATCTGTTAGGTTACAGAAGCCTACACACTCGAGGGTCCCATTTTATGAAACATGTACCAGCTACAAATAACATTGAGACACAAGCAACTGAAATCAGTTTATTAGATTGACTGTGAGTAAAAAATTTAAATCCAGATATAGACAAATGTAGACAAAGTAAGGTCTAGACTACAGGAATTGAACCATGAGGTCTTTGATTTCGAGATATAACAAATCACAGACAATAAGGTTGTCATACACAATATTGATTCAGCTATAATGCATCATTTCTAATTTATACCTTGCATATAGTCAACCAATGTTCATTTGTGGAATAGGCATTCTTACAGCTTTAGACCTGGGCCCCATTTCACAAACCTTCTCATCAGTGACAAATCATTTTTTTTTTTTTATAAGCTAGCGAAATCCTTGCTTCTGATTGGTTATCAGCAGATTTGTCACTGATTTTTGTTATTTGTCCTTGAAAAACAGGCTTTGTGAAACAGGTCCCTGTTGTTGACCATAGTAACCTAACACATTTCAGTCCTTAACATTCACTTTGATCGGTCTTAAATTATCTGCTATGTATACTTCTTTCTTTGTTTTTCCCCCTCATATCAAAAGGCTAAGAGACAAATTATTGAAAATCGACCAGAGGTGTGTTTGCACTTTTCTGCTGACCACTCAAAATAATTTTTAGTTTCTTGTTTTATCAAAAAATATTTGGTATTTTATTGACAGTCCGACTTTGAGCCAAGGGAAGGGGGGGGGGGTATTTTCATTATTATTGTGGAGTTTGTATGTGTGTGCATATCAACATCCCACCATTGTATGTTACACACTTTCTTTAAAATCAGGGCCTTGTTACATGAAACTTACCACTGAAGGTAACTTTGCCATCAATATTAACTCATGATAATATCACTCACCAGCCAATCAAATCAGATTGTAAGTTTTATGCAACGGGCCACGGATGTAGAGAATTGATAAGTTTAATTACGGATGTTGAATAGTTACAAATCAATTCAATGTTTCATACTTCCAAAGGACAGGGGCAGACTGGGACTAGAATTTGTGTGGGTAACTTTGATGGCCAAATCTTCTTCATGATATTAATATCAGTTGACCTTTAGACCACAAATCGACCAATCTCAATATGAATTATTGAGCGGCTTCAGGGGGGGGGGGGGGGGGGAACTCCCCAAACTTCTATGGCCAGTCTCACCCCGTCAAATGGTATAGAGATCATTCATAATTGGATGTGCACTGTATATGCACTGTATGATAGAAATAGTGTATATCATACTGTTTTAATGTCACAACTGGTCTTCTTGAAGTCCAATGGTATTGTTTTAGCGACAAAATAATTAAACTTTGCAGAGCAAACGATACATTTTTCTTTGTACCTGCTCTATAAGGTGCTATACCAAAGTCTTTGTATAATTGAACTGGATTATTTTGGCAATTGGGTTGATAGTTGGTCGATTATTCTAAATATCACTGAAGATGATATCTTGGAAAATTTGATTGCAGATCTATGGTTTTATCAATCTCTTTCTTAGTCCATGGATATTTAAACAATGTTGGTTAACCTTGTGACTCAATTAATGTTATTAAAGTACACATGCTTCTTTGTAATTCTAAAATCATGTTTTTTGTTGTTCAACATGGTTACCCCCTTTGTTTGTATTGCTGTTACCCCTAACAGAGAGGTGGTATCGTTCTTAGCAGTGTACTTTTAAAAGTGTTTATTATTGAAATATGAAATAAAATATTGAATTTATCATACATGACAAATGCTTAACATGAGGTGTCTTGAGTTCACACCTTGAGAAGTTATATAAAGTTTCATTGTAATTTAGATTGAAAAGACAGTTACTGGAATATCAGTAAACATTTCTTAAATTGTTGATGTCGGGTGATGATCATGAAGTTGACTACGAGGAGGGTGATGATGGCAATGAAGATGAAGATGAAGTTAATTATGGGGAGGGTGATGATGGCGATGATGATGAAGTTGATGAAGTTGAGTATGGGGAGGGTCATCATGATGATGATGAAGATGATGATGATGGTGATGATGATGAAGATGATGATGAAGTTGATTATGGGGAGGGTGATGATGGTGATGATGATTATGAAGATGATGATGAAGTTGATTATGGGGAGGGTGATGATGGTGATGATGATGAAGATGATGATGAAGTTGATTATGGGGAGGGTGATGATGGTGATGATGATGAAGATGATGATTTATGAAGTTGACTACGGGGAAGGTGATAATAGCGATGATGAAGATGATGATGAAGTTAATTATGGGGAGGGTGATGATGGCGATGATGATGAAGATGATGATTTATGAAGTTGACTACGGGGAGGGTGATAATAGCGATGATGAAGATGATGATGAAGTTAATTATGGGGAGGGTGATGATGATGATGATGAAGTTAATTATGGGGAGGGTGATGATGATGATGATGAAGTTAATTATGGGGAGGGTGATGATGATGATGATGAAGTTGTTTATGGGGAGGGTGATGATGGCGATGAAGATGATGATGAAGTTGAGTATGGGGAGGATGATGATGGCGATGATGATGAAGATGATGATGAAGTTAAGTATGGGGAGGGTGATGATGAAGTATTATGGAGATGGTGATGATGATGATGATGTAGGTGATGATGATATTAATGGTGGTGGTGGCCGTGTCATAATAAGAGTATCATCGAACTGCTTCATCTCGTCTTTTCAACAAAACTGTTTTCTTTATTACAATATATGACGATGTAGAAAAACTTATCACAAATACACTATTTACTGACATTTTCAATACCCGTTTTTCCTTTCTCCCTCTCTCTCTCTCTCTTTTCTCTCTCTCTCTCTCTCTCTCTCTCTCTCTCTCTCTCTCTCTCTCTCTCTCTTGCTCTCCTTCCCTGTCGCTCACATATTTTGGAGGTCCTTTTCTTCTCCTTTTCTCTCTCTCTTTCTCTCTCTTACTTTCCATTTCGTATCCTTTCTACACATTCTCACATGTCTTCCTTTTTTCTTCCATGCTGTCTCCTCTGTCTCTGTCCGGAATATATAATTATATTTGAAATACCTCCTTACTCCCCCCCCCCCCCCCCCCCCCCCCAAGTCCAGAGTCTATAATATTCCCTACACTTGCTTCAAGCCGCCGATGATGGCGTTATCAACGAACTCGAACGCACAGCCTAGATTCTTTCGCCCGGCGTAGAAATTCGGCGATCACGTCATCTTTAGCGTCTTGAAGCAAGGGAATATTACTCTTTCACCTCTGATAAATGCCCCTATTAAAACCTAATAGGTGTCAATTTCATTTCTTGTGAGGGCCCAGTTTCATGTACGAGAAGTACCACTTACCACCTTTGATAATAGTGCCTCCTTCACCTTTGAATTTTGCCCCTCTTCAAATTTGAGAAGTGTCCCTTTTCCTTTGAAATAAGTGCCCCTTCTAATTACGTGCCTCTTTTCACCTCTGATAAGCGCCCCTTTTACTTTGACACATATCTCCTTTTCCTTTCCAATAATTGCCCCTTTTTTCCTTCTGGTAAGTACCCCTTTTCCTTTTTAATTCCTTTCCCTTCTCATAAATACCTCTTTTTACCTCTGACAAATGCTACTATTAAAATCTGAATAATTTTCGATTGACAAGTGCCCCTTGCTCTTTGTAATAAATGTCCCTTTTTTCCAGTCTTTTCATCTCTCGTAAGTGCCCACTTTCATGTACGACAAGTACCCCCTACCATTTTTTCCTTTTTACTTTGACACGTGCCCCTTTTCTTTTTTAATACGTGTCATTTTCCCTTGATGTTATTATCTTTTCATTTGTTCATTTATTTCCATCTTCATATAAAAACAATAGATCATTACAATATTATACATTAATCATACATTTTAACGGCTCGGTGTAAAAATGTCAGTGGAAAAAATGTCAGAGGTAAAAATGTCAGAGGTAAAAATGTCAGAGGTAAAAATGTCAGAGGTAAAAATGTCAGAGGTAAAAATGTCAGAGGAAAAAATGTCAGAGGTAAAAATGTCAGAGGTAAAAATGTCAGAGGTAAAAATGTCAGAGGAAAAAATTGTCAGAGGTAAAAATGTCAGAGGAAAAAATGTCAGAGGTAAAAATTTCAGAGTTTAAAATAAAAACAAAAGCATGTGACAAGTTTGTTATGTTTACACCCGGGTTATATTTCAGGCTTATCGAAAAAGAACAGCGAGGAATATTCTGCAGTCGTTATTTCACCGCTGTCTTATTGTATTGTATTAGTTAAGTCTTATTTTGAGCGTATACCAAGGTTGTACTTGTAGAGGAATCATGTACTTTGAAGAATGCTATCAGTTGTCTGATGACCGCTTGCAAGGAGTGAAACTCGGAGTACACCATCCATGTCCCATTAGTCTGCCTTATTCAATATTTATATACCGGTATATTATGTTTTTGTATAAGCAAATGGTACTGGTACACTGAGCAAACTTCTGGGGAAAAAGATCTCTAAAATCGATAAGTTTGGCCATGTTTTATAGACTGAGTTGTCGCTCCATGGTGTAATCATTAAAAAAAAAAAAAAAAAAACAAGGTTATTTAATAAAAGGATCATGCGCAAATAATCATTGTGATTCAAATTGATGCAAGGATTCTTTTGAATAAGCAATGCTTTTCACCAGAATCTTCTTTGTAAAAACGACTTTTACAAATCTCAGCCATGCAAATCTGCCACTGTGTTGTTAGATCACTTTGAGATTAGGAGAAGTGTATTCTGTAATGAGTATTTTACATTGAATGGAACGTCTCAACTCAGTAAGCATGGCTGAGATTTGTTAAAGTTGTTTTTACAAAGAAGATTCGGGTGAATAGCAATGCTTATTCAAACAAATATTCGCATCAATTTGAATCACAATCATTATTTGTCGCTTAATCCCTTTTAATGACCTTGTTTTCTTTCTCGTTTGCAAGGGGAGAAGAAGATATGTCACGTTAAAGACATCATAAAGATCAGTGTTGTATGCGTATATATTATATACACAGGCCAGTAACAGCTATGTAGCTTGTAAATTTGTAAGAGGGAAAATGCTGATTGAAATGATAATGATGAAATAGCAAATAATTGAGGAGTATCATAGGTACCAATTCAATGGATATTGGTATAACAGAGAGCCCCCGTCAGTACTAAAAGAGCCCCCGTGAGAAGGCTCACGGGGGCTCTTTTTTTTGGGGGGGGGGAAGAGCCCCCGTGGACAAAAAAATTAATTTGAGCTCTGGTTGTAGAGGAATCATGTACTTTGAAGAATGCTATCAGTTGTCTGATGACCGCTTGCAAAGCGTGAAACTCGGAGTACACCATTCATGTCCCATTAGTCTGCCTTATTCAATATTTATATACCGGTATATTATGTTTTTGTATAAGCAAATGGTACTGGTACACTGAGCAAACTTCTGGGGAAAAAGATTTCTAAAATCGATAAGTTTGGCCATGTTTTATAGGCTGAGTTGTCGCTCCATGATGTAATCATTAAAAAAAAAAAAAAAAACAAGGTTATTTAATAAAAGGATCATGCGACAAATAATCATTGTGATTCAAATTGATGCAAGGATTTTTTTGAATAAGCAATGCTTTTCACCAGAATCTTCTTTGTAAAAACGACTTTTACAAATCTCAGCAATGCAAATCTGCCACTGTGTTGTAAGATCACTTTCAGATTAAGTGTATTCTGTAATGAGTATTTTACATTGAATGGAACGTCTCAACTCAGTAAGCATGGCTGAAATTTGTAAAAGTTGTTTTTACAAAGAAAATGCTGATTGAAATGATAATGATGAAATAGCATATAATTGAGGAGTATCATAGGTACCAATTCAATGGATATTTGTATAACAGAGAGCCCCCGTCAGTACTAAAAGAGCCCCCGTGAGAAGGCTCACGGGGGCTCTTTTTTTTGGGGGGGGGGGAAGAGCCCCCGTGGACAAAAAATTAATTTGAGCCCTGGTTGTAGAGGAATCATGTACTTTGAAGAATGCTATCAGTTGTCTGATGACCGCTTGCAAGGCGTGAAACTCGGAGTACACCATCCATGTCCCATTAGTCTGCCTTATTCAATATTTATATACCGGTATATTATGTTTTTGTATAAGCAAATGGTACTGGTACACTGAGCAAACTTCTGGGGAAAAAGATTTCTAAAATCGATAAGTTTGGCCATGTTTTATAGGCTGAGTTGTCGCTCCATGGTGTAATCATTAAATAAAAAGAAAAGTCAGTACAGCCCCCAAAATAGGATCAGATATCTATGAACCTTCCCCCTCCTACTTCTCCTTCGTATTTGAAGATTGTTGGACATTTTAACTGCGTGGCAATGTCTACTATTATATGTAATTTCCAATAAATGCATATTTCCGACAATTCCACTTTCTTGAGGGCTTGGTATTTTGATACTCTGAAACAAGCAGAAAGCCATGTTATCAATGCTAACCGCACCATCACATTCCCGAAGTGCGCGCGTTGCAATAAAATATAGTCGATTACTATTGCGGTATAAAATAGTCTGGGAGAAAATCAATAAGCAGCTTTGTTACTCCGATACAAAGCAGAAAGCCGCCCATGTTACATCAATTAAAGAGAAGGTTGAGTTCTGGGGAAAGGTAAAACAAAAATTATTTGTGAGCGTTCAATGCAAGTGTAATAGAACATCAAAGAAAAAAGTTATTCCCTGAAAATCTATTTCAAATGACTTCATATCCCAGATATAACAAGTAACATCTTTGTATGCCTGCC